ACCCCTTGCAGCCTTGTATTTCCGCAGTCATACAAACTCTTAGAAGGTCAGTTCATCTAAATTTCCTATTTTCTTTCTTACCCCAGAGGAATCTAGCCATGCAGATAGTTTTGGTTTGGTTAACTGTCACAGAGGTTTAATGTTCACTTGAGAAAAGCTGTGTCATTGTGTTTAACACAGACCTAGAGAGACATTTGATGGCAACCAGTGATCATTCTTCAAAATGGTGGTTTCCCCCAACCTCTTTTAATGCTTCATCTTTCATCCAAAACCTGAAAAACCTGCTGATGCAACATTCCTCTACTAGGACTCTGATGTTGGCCACAAGAGAAAAACTCCACTGGCAAGTCTTTGAATGCTGACAGCTAACATCATCAAACTGTGCTTGATTAGCTTGAATTTTATTGATTTAGGGAGGGATAATGCGCATTAATTATCATGAGCACTTGAATGCATCATGTAAATGTTTTTTTTTTTTTAGATTTAGCCATTCAGACAAATTTTCATCTATAGTCCCTGGCAGGGCCATGGTATACCACTGGTGCAGTACAAGCAGTTAGATCAGTTTCCACTCAGTTGCTTGTCATACAGCAAAATCAAGTTCAAGATTCAAGAGGTTTATTATCATATGTACAGTATAAACACAAGGCTAGTACGCACAATGAAAATCTTACTTTGCCCGACTCTACGGTGGCCGACAAGGGCAATTGGCCGCAAACGGCAAAACGCTGCAAACGCGGGAATGATGCAAATCCAAAAACACACAAACACATATAACAAATGCAACAGAAAAACGCAGCAACAGAAAAATACTGCAATCACAGAAACGAAGCAAAAAAACGAAACAAAAACTAACAAACCCACAAAACAACTGCCAAAAAAAATACTGCAAATACCAAAACACGAAAACCCACAAAACAACTCCAAGAGAGAAATGCTGCAAATTCACTCGACAAACGGAAGTGCGCCAGGCCACTACAGGGACCAGACCTGTGGGACCAGACCCGAAAGACATGAAGAAGAAGAAGAAAGTTGGCTACGTTTTGGAGAGGAGAGTATTATAATATTATAATTATATTATTTAATATTATTATAATATTATAGAAGAATATTACAATTATTATAATATTATTATAATATTCTTCTACAATATTATATTATTATAAAAATATAATATAATTATTATAATATTATATTATATTATAATTGTGTCATATTATTATAATATAATTATAATATTATAATAATTATAAAAGATTATGGCCAAGTGTTTAAAAAAGACATAAAGGAAAACGTACATTTTTACTCTCCTCTTAGCCAACTTTCTTCTTCTTCTTCTTCTTCTTCTTCTTCTTCATGTCTTTCAGGTCTGGTCCCACAGGACTGGTCCATCCCTTAGGTCGGGTCCCCCTAGTTCCCTGGCGCACTTCTGTTTGGTCAAGTGAATTTGCAGCGTTTCTATCTGGCAGTTGTTTTTTGTGTTTTGGTATTTGCAGCATTTTTCTTTGGCAGTTGTTTTGTGGGTTTGTTAGTTTTTGTTTCTGCTTCGTTTCTGTGCTTGCAGTATTTTTCTGTTGCTGCGTTTTCTGTGTTGTGGGTGGGAATTGTCCTTTATGATTTTGTGGGCCCTCCTGATGACCTGGTTGTGTAGATGTCCTGTAGTGATGGGAAGGCTGCTCCAGGGATGAATTGTGCAGTTTTTGGTAGTCGGAGTGAGTGGCATACACAGTGAATAAGCTGCAGACTTGGCTGCAGTTGTTTGAGCAGTATAGTAACAGTGAAACAGTATTAGTGTGCATGTGGCGAGAGTGCATGCTGCCAGTTACAGTAGCTCCTGCTGTCTTCTTTACTTTTTCCCACTTAGATTTTTTGTTCTCAAGTATTTGATTTAAGCTGCACCCTCTCTAAGAATTCTTGTATAGAGAGTTTTGGTTTGGTTTCAAACATCATCTTCATGCTGAATTGCATCTACACCCATCTGGACAAGCCGGCAAACACTTTGAGGGGTCATGTTTTTTGACTTCTCCATTGCTTCCATCCAGCCAGCTCTGCTGGGTAAGAAGCTGACAGCGATGGAGGTGGATGATCCCCTTGTGTCCTTGATTTTCAACTACCTGACTGGCAGACCACAGTATATGCGCCTGCAACATTGTGTGTCAGACAGTGTGGTTAGGATCACCGGGGCCCTGTAGGGAACTGTCCTTTCTCCCTTCCTCTTCACCCTCTACACCAAATACTTCAACTATCACACAGTCCTGCCATCTTCAGAAGTTTTCTGATGACTCTGTTGTGATGGGGTGATGTGTAGGGATGGGGATCGAAACCCGGTTCTATCAAGGACCCGGTTCCACTTTTTTCAAAACCTGAAAATCAATAACGTTTGGGCTTATTGATACCACTATCGAGTCTCGTTGTTTTTTTTTTTCTCCCGTAGGTCCTGTAACGTAATTGTGTGTCCCCCGAGTCGCGTCACAGCATTTAAATCTAATCAATCCAATCACTGCAGCGTGTCCACCAATGTTTTTGAATGAAATTGTAAGCAAACAGGTATTAAAAGTAAAACAAGTGAAGTCTGGCAGTTAACTTGGCTCGCGAGGATGGCTGAACGGGCGAAAAGGTCTACAGTTTGGCTTCATTTTACCAAGCTCAAAGATAAAGAGGAAGCGAAATGCAACTTATACTGCAAAATCCTTTCTTGTGAAGGGGGGAACACAACCTCAATGGCCAAGCACATTAGCATTGTGCATCAAATAAAGGCCAAATGCAGTACCTTCGACTGTCTCTGGGTTGAAAAGACTCTGTCTCCTCCTCCTCCTCCTGCTGCTGCCGCCGCACCACAGATGGGCCCGTCTTCATCATCCACTCAAAGTACCAGCGGTAAGTGCACACACAGACTTTGTAGCTTGTCCCATCAGTTAAAAATAGTAATCCAATTGTGAAATCTGTGTTATAATTGGCAGCATACATGCAGGTAGCTTGAAAAGTAAATAAAGTTTCAGACATGCTGCATGATGATGTGTTCAGGTTGGCTCAGTAAAATGACTATTAGGTTAGGCATATTATTTATTTAATTAATAATATACATTATGACATTTTATTTTTCAGTTGGTGCTGCTGATATAGTCTTTCTATTGTTAGTTTTATGTCATTTCGAAGTGGCCTATTACATTAGCCATGTTTACTAAGGCTAGAAACGTTTTTGTTATGCTCACTTGTTAAGCAATAAAAGCAATACCAGTTCTGTTAAAAACATATTGTCACATCATCTTTCCACCAAATAATAGAAAAGTATCGATAGTGGTATCGATAAAGACTCGGATCGATAAGGAGTATCGATAAAGGTATCGATATCAATAAATATTAACGATCCCTATCCCTAGTGATGAGACTGAGTACAGGACAGTGGTGGGTAACTTTGTCACATGGTGTGAGCAGAGCTATCTGCAGCTCAATGTGACAAAGACCAAAGAGTTGGTTGTGAACCTGAGGAAGGCTGTCATCCACAAGTCCAGTGACGTTGTGGGAGTGGAGCTAGACCCTTTGAATGTGGTGTCAAGCTACATGGCATCTTGGACAATGTCTCCCACCTACTCCATAATGAACTGGTCAAACACAGGAGTAGTTTCAGTGCAAGACTCATTCCTCCGAGATGCACTACAAAGCAAGTAATTCCTGCCTGTGGCCATCCAACTCTTCAACTCAAAGTGTCAAAACTCATCGGTCATCAATCACTAAACTAGTGCTGAATGTTACTGTGGTTAATGTGCAATACAATGTGCAATTCACTGGATTATTCTGTCATTCTTGTAATTATTCAGTCATTGTAATAATCTGTGACTTGTAAAACCACAATCTTTAAAAACTCATTACTATTTAATTTCTGTCAGCACATACTGTGGAACACATTTACTTTGTATATATTAGAATATATTGTGTATATATTTTATTACTATAAGGTATATAGGCTCTTATTATACCTATTATATTTCTATTTAAATGCTTTTAACTTGTATTTGTACCTATACATACATTTAAATTCTATAAATTGTGCTAGATCTTTTTAAGTATTATCGGGGATCTATAAAGTCTTTCTGATTCTAATAAAAAACTGAATTATGTTTCCTACCATTTGCTCCGTCTGTAGCACTACCATTAGCACAGCATTTTCAGTTAGTTTTTTTTTCAGAGATGTAATGATTGCTTTTGCTATCTCACTCTGCATCAGCATCCCCAAGTTCTACAAGCTCCAGGTACACCACTGATAAACGTGATGCTTTTTTGATGCACGTACACAGTCTGTTTTTTTCACTACTTGTCTGTAGATTAATCAAGATAGCGGGAAAAGAGTGAATCACCAATATCCGTCAGTAACTCTTCTCTGAAATGGTCCTTTTTCCTCTTGCATTTTTGGTCATCTTGAATGGAGCCCTGTCCAGCTTTGCCTGTAGAGGCTATGCTAATGGTTTTATAATTGAGTGCACAACGGGCTTTCCTCTGTTTCGTTATGGAAAGCTTTTTGACTCATTACCCGGAACAGGTGCACTCCTTCCGATAGCTTTTCTTATATTGTCCCCTCTTTAGCATTGTACAGGCTTTAGCTAGCAGTGGTGCCATCTACTGTAGCACACAGGTGAATGTTTGCAGACAGCACACCTGCCAACACCATCATAGTGATTGCTATGATACAGTTTTCATACCCTTAATAGATAGGCTATTCAAGTTAAGCTGAATCAGTGAACTGCACAGTGTAGTGTTTAATGACCAAAAAAATTCAGGATTGTTGTATTTACTTACTATCAGTAAACATATGCTGCAAAAAGAAATTTTTTTTCAGCTCAAGCTGATGAAACTAGCCCAGTTGAGCACTTTCCTGCCCAATCTGACAAATCTGAAATGAAACAAATGAAGGTCAATTAGTTTGGGCTGAGAAGTGCACACGCACACACTTTGTTGCATGTTCACACAAGACAAGATGCAGTTTCCCACTGCTGATTGGATAACAATTATGGTAATGGGATGGGTGTTGATAAGTATTAAGGTTTTGCACAGTATTACATGAAATCAAAAACATCATACTGCATGAACAATCTTGAAGGTTTAACAGGTTTGATATGAAAAAATGATGTAATTTATTTCCGTTTGTTGTTTTACTGACATTGTTGAAAGTGAAACTCATTGTTTTTGGCTAAATAATATATATGTTTATGTATGTTTATATATGTTTATATAAGAATTGAATTGTTCGGTCCCTAAAACATGGAATCAGAAGTCACTGTCAACAAGACTGCCGTTGGAACTAACATACATCCCTGCTATGAAATAGAGAATTTCAATTACATACTGACAAACAACCCTTCCATTATATGTGTATTATTATATATTTTCCTTGTATTATTGTCTGTAATCACAATATGTGGAAACCTTCTCGTTATAATCTCCATCATTTACTTCAAACAGCTCCACACTCCTACTAACTACCTTATTCTCTCTCTGGCTGTGGCTGACCTGCTTGTTGGGATTATAGTCTTTCCTTTCAGCATGGCATTCTCTCTCAGCTCGTGTTTGTATCATGAGGATTTATTTTGTAAAGTACGAGGCAGTTTTGATATATCACTGAGCACATGTTCCATTCTGAACCTATGTTGTATTTCTATTGACAGATATCATGCTGTGTGTCAGCCTCTGACATACAGAACTAAAATCAACCAAAATGTTGTTGTGATCATGATCCTGATGAGCTGGGGGGTTTCTGCTTTAATTGGGATTGGTGTCATAATTGCTGGATTAAAAAATGAAACATGTGAGGAAAGGTGTTTAATTGATGTTCTACTTGCAAACATTTTAGGACCTATTTTCTCATTTTACCTCCCAGTGATCATAATGCTCTGTATCTACCTGAAGATTTTCCTTGTTGCACAGAGACAGGCACGCAGCATCCAGAACACAAAGTCTGGAGCAACTGTCAGTAAGATGGAAAGAAAGGCCACCAAAACTCTGGCTATTGTTTTGGGAGTTTTTCTTTTATGTTGGACTCCTTTCTTTCTTTGCATTACCATTGTGCCGTTTAGTAATAATTCAGTACCAGATCCTGTGATTGAAACACTTAACTGGCTTACTTTGTCAAATTCCATGCTCAATCCATTTATTTATGCTTTCTTTTACAGCTGGTTCAGGTCAGCTTTTAGAATGATCATGTCTGGAAAAATATTTCAAGGTAATTTTGCTGACTCAAATTTGCACTGAGTTACTGTTTGGGGTGCAAAATAGCTGATGGAAATGTCAACAATGTTACAGTAAATTCTGACAGAATAAAAGTGACTATGCCAACATTCTCTTGTTTTACTGGACTCCAGTTCAACATTATATAGCTGTTGGTAATTGAAATGTAAACTGTGTTAGGACTTTAATTCAATTAGGTGACAAAAATATTGTCCATGTTTTGTAAGGCAAAATGTAAGGCTCTAACTCCTTCTAAGTTTTGCTGTTATTTATGTTTTTGGCCTGTATATTATTAAAGGTGGAACACTACATGAAACTCAAACAAGGACGCATTGTGGGGAAGTGTATACAGTGATGACGATAGCTTAGATAATGGATGGTCTGTATTAACATGGAACTTTTCCAGTCTACTGACCACTCAAAGTGATTTACAAGCACTCATCCATTCACACACTGCGGCTGCAAATCTGCTCATCAGGAGCCCTACAATGATTATTATTCAAAACAGCCCACGAAAATTCTATTTGTACAGATTAACAGACACGGCACAGTCAAAAGATTGTACAGTTCATGTGGTATGAAGCAATCTGAGGTTCAGGTTCAGGACACTTAAACAGCAGACTGGAAGAGGGATTGAACCACCAACATTTTGAGTAATGGACGACCTGCTCTTCCGCCTGAGCAATTAAAAGCCTATTACATTTTGTTTTGTCAAAATGTCACCTGCATAGAGCACTGACACATTTTATGTTGGACGTGATATCTACAGTTTGGTCTTATTGCTCTGCATAGAAATCTGTTGGATAAATAGGACTAGTTCAAAAACATTGGATCAAATCTGAATACACTTGAATCTTAATCTTTTTGAGTCCCGTATCATTTCCATATAGGTTTGTGAGGTCTCGTCCCACTTCCCAAGTTGTTATTTGTTTCATGTTTTTATTCAAAATACTGCTGCATGACTGAAGAGTGGTATCGAGTCTATTAGCCTGAGTATTCCAGTTGTTAGAAGGTTTAGCATAACAACTGAAAGTAACCTAAGGTTTGAACAAATAAGCATGAATTCAACAGAGCTCTGTAATCATTTTTTGGCTGTGGAGGCAGAAACGCTACAGTTTTGAATAGTAGCTTACTTAATGTTCACAACCTGAAGCTACAAACTAAAAATGAGAAAATATGAGGATAAGATATGTAAGGATACATTTGTTTTCCAACGTAAGCAGCACTCCGACCATTTGGTATTTTTGTGACCTTTACATTTGCAGGGGCAAACAGGGGCGAGGTTCATTCAAAAGAGGCAGTGCAAAAGAGTTGATATTTCAGTGGGAAATGTGTCTTAGACGTTGCACTGAAAATAGATGCCTCAGACCCACATCTTTTTGTGGCAATAACAATAATCTGATGCCAATCTCAATTTTTTTTACCAAGAGCAAACATAATACTTGATGATGATGGTGAAGCTCTCTCTATGCATTGAACTGTGGTTGTCACGCACCATCTAAAAATATCGTGAGACTGACCCTGACCTCCTTTGTCACTATGTTGTCACCTGACTTCCTCCTTTACTCTCATCATAATAACTACCGCAGCTACAAGGGTTTATTACTTGAAAGTAAACAAATGTTTTGGGTCCTTGCTGAAATGACTAATGATGGTGTTTGTCTTGGCAGACAGTCAAGGTACTTACCTTTCAGACCCTATTCTATTAATACTGGAGGCCACATTTAAATTCAGACCTATTAGGTTGATATGGCCAATTTTTTCTTTTTATGAATTAGTATGAAGTTTAACTAAGTAAATTCAGACAACTGAAATTGACATGACAGTCATTTAGTTAACTGCATTCTTGATTAACATCAGTCACACAACAGAAACACTCCCAGTTTGACTAATTTGTAAACATTGATTCTGAAAGATGGACAAGTTATGTTTTTTAATTAGGACATAGTCCCTGTTTTAAATGGGGTTTGTGCATTTAAACCTTTTTTTGAAAGAGAGTATGACCAGCTTCATCGTATTCATAGGATAAGTCCATTGCAGCTTGTTTGAGGAGTCAAGAAGTATTTCCAATATCAAACTAAAATTCAACTCGTTCCAGAGGACTTCCACAGAGTTTGCCTATATGTTCTCTCTGAACTAGGGCAGACACTGTTCCCCAACAAAGAGGCTGGTAAATCATGCACCAAGGAGGTCTTGCCATCTGCAACAACTTCCATGATTCCAGATGGGACATCCACGTCTGCTCCTTCTGTGGTAGAGGCAATGCTTGCCCTGCTTGCTTGCACAACCCTACTTTGCAAAATCTAAGTACGCATTCGACACCCCGTAAAAGATACCAGCATTATCAGTAGCGCTTTAAAATTAATCCTTGTTCCAAACTTCTCTCAACTGGCCCTGAATGCACTGAAGCAAAAGGGAGCCAAATTTAAGTGGACACATGAGTGCCAGTCTGCTTTTGAAGCCCTGAAGACATGTTCGGTCACTACACCCATCCTCGGACATCCAACAGTTCACCTCCCTTTTGTAGTCTACACTGATGCAAGAGACATTGGTCTTGGCGCCGTGCTAGTCCAGCAAACTGGGCTGGGGACCGAAGAAGTTCTGGCATATGGCAGCAGGAGCCTAAACAAAGCAGAGTGCAACTATTCAGCCACGGAAAAGGAGTGCTTGGCTGTGGTTTGGGCCTTGAAAAGGTCGAAATACTACCTATTGATGCTTTGGCCAATGTTCTGCTGGGAAACCTTGGGTCCTGCTATTCATGTGGATGTTACTTTGACATTGTTGCAGACCATGTACACTCTTTCATGGAAATGGTATTCCCTGATGGCAGTGGCGTCTTTCAGCAGGATAATGCTCTCTGCCACAAAGCCAAAAATGGTTCAGAAATTGTTTGAAGAACACAATAACGAGTTTAAAGTGTTGATTTGGCCTCCAAATTCCCCAGATCTCAATCTAATCAAGCAGGACAAACAAGGCAGATCCATGGAGGCCCCACCTCAAAACTTACAGGATTTAAAGGATCTGCTGCTACTTCTAGTGGAGTCCATGCCTAGATAGGTCAGGGCTGTTTTGGTGGCAAAAGGGGGACCTACACAATATTAGGCAGGTGGTCATAATGTTATGGCTGATCGGTCTATGAGCACATCATCATGCCTACTTGTACCCCTCTCCATTAAAATTTTGAAAGATATGGACACCATTGCACCTTATCTGCACAAGATCATAAACATTAATAATAACGATAATTATCTGACAGCTAGTATCACCTGTGGCCTGCCCCAAGGATCAATTCTGGGACCAATTTTATTCTCTTTGTACGTTACCCCCTGTACATATCATTCAGCAACACAATGTCTCATTGTTACTCTGATGATACATAGTTATATCTCTCATTTAAACCACATGAACTGTACAATCTTTTGAACTCTTGTTTATCCAGTGTCAATGACTAGATGGCAGCCAACTTCCTACAATTTAACAGCAGCTTTTAAAACAGAAAATCTAAACTTTGAGCCAGATTGTCATAAATCACAGATACAGTCCTCTCTTGGTTGTCTTGCGACCAGTCTGTGGCAAAAAACCTCAAGGGAACTTTTGATGGCCTCTTATCCTTTGAGCAGCACACAAGAAACATCACCCAAGCTTCTTTTTATCAGTTACGAAACATCTCTAGAAAAAAAACACATGCTCAATTTTTATGACACAGAAAAAGTAATACATGCTTTTAGCGCTTTTATCGTTACTTTTGTCTGTTCATAGATAGATAAGATAGATAATTCATTTATGTATCCCCCTAAGGAGAAATTCAGGTTGAAACAGCAGCAATAGGGCAAAGCAGCGCAAAAACAGAAAACAAAGAATATCACAGTAAAAATATTGCTAATATTATTAATATTAGAAAATATAAAAACTATAAATTAAAGTATTTACACTATTTGTTGTTTAAGTAGGACATGGAGTCCAAAATATGAGCAGAAAATTAAACTTGACTAAAACTAAACTAAAACTACTAAACTACTAAAGTGGAAATTAAATATAAATAGTGCAAAAGGTTTGCGCGTTGTAGGTAGGAGTTCTAAACCAGTCTTTATCTGCTGGGGTTAGAGGTACCGGGTGCTGAGGCGTTGTGGAGTCTGATGGCAGATGGTACAAACAAGCCTCCAAACCGCTTTGCGGTAGGGGCTGGGTCAGTCTGTAGCTGAAGATGCTCCTGAGCTGCCTCAGCTCAGCGTGGAGAGGATGAGAGGGGTTGTCCATGATGGCTTTCAGCTTCCCTGTGATGGCGTGTCTGCAGGTCTGCAATGGTGGAGTGGATAACGTCACAGGCATGCGCCGCTACTGCCGATGGAGGAATGTAAACAGTGATGACAATAGTGGCCGTAAACTCACAGGCAGATAGTATGGCCTTAACCCTATGGCCAGCAGTTCAATATCAGGTGTGCAGATTTCTGCCTTCTTGACAACATGTCCAGGGTTACACCATATAGAGTTCACAAAGACAGCGAGCCCTCCTCCCGACTTTTTACCGCTCTGTTTCTTCCTGTCTGCCCGAACTAGTGAAAAACCGTCCAGTTCCACTGAACAGTCTGGTGTAATGTCATTCAGCCATGTCTCCGTCAGACATAATATGCTGCACTCCCGATACTCTCGCTGTCCGTTGACCAGGGCCGAGAGCTCGTCTTGTTGTTCAGCGAGCGTACGTTTCCCATGACAACCGAGGGAAGACATGGCTTGTATCTCCACCGCCTCTCTGTCTTCTAGGTCCTCACCAATGTGCCTGCTCTGGTTCCTCTCCTTCGTCTCCTTAACTCCACCGGGATCTCCCTTGGGCATGCGACACGTAAAACCCGATACCGTAGGAAGTCCTCACGTGAATAACATCCGGTGTTTTGTTGTGTGGTGGTTGTTGTGTCAACATTCCTACACATTGTTTATATTTAAAAAAACTTAGTTCAACTACGGCTAAAAAAGTAAAAAATTAACTACCAACACTGGAGGTCTGTTTACAACAATAAACACAGTGCTGTTTAAGAAGAAATAAAGAAGTAGTAAGATTTAAGGCAAAAAAATAAGAGGCGGAGCGGGAGTTGTTGCGTCAAGCTGCCACTCT